TCTGTGCACACATGAAATGTATTTGGAGAATAAATTACCAGGAGTGGAATTTACTTTATTCTCGAGACTCCTGATTGTGAATATTCCATGGGCTTCCAGAGTACCCGTTTGATCTCCCAGTATCCTTTTTGCAGGGGAAGTTCTGACTTCAATGGTTTTGGTTAGAAAATAACATTTTTATTCTTACACTTTTGCTTTAAGGAAACTAAAACACTTGATCGCCACTGCCTTTTTAATGCCTTGCGTTGCAGAAGCTTTATTGAGTTACCAGCCTTCCAGCTTCACTCCTGAGGTTGAAAATCGTACTCTCTTTTCCCCTCAGTTTTACTCACAGAGGTTCCTTGCATGGAGACCACGTAGCTTCTCACTGAGGTGGAGGGCCTCAGCGGCACTCTTGGGGGTGTTGGAAGTGCATCCTCAATAGGGCTTTGTTACAAGACGAGGAGCCCTCCCCAGAGCAAGGGGTCTGTGTCAGGGCTCTGGAACCAGGGAAAGGGCTGTTGATTCCCCTCAACCCACCCACAGAGGGATGAGATTCAAAATACTTAACAAGAAGTAAGGGGCTGGCCCCAAGCCACTTCATCAGGGGCTAGCCTGAGTGCTGGCACGGGGTGGCCCTGGAGGCCACAGCTGAGCTGGGTGGTGGCCTGCAGAAGGGGCCAGGGAGGGAGGTCCTAGTAAGGGCCCTTGCAAGTTCAAGGCCGGGTTACTTATCTGACCGGTACAGGAATGCTCCACATTTTAGCAGCCAGTTGCCCCATGTAGGCATGCCACCGGACATCACCCACAGCCCTCTCAGGGTACCTGTGAGATGCGGTTAGTTCACAGTGGGGAAACCAGGCTTGAGTCATAGCTGGGCCTCTTCTTAGCTGCTTAGCTTTCAGCCAGGCATGAATGTTTTGTTGTCTCCAAATGCAGACATCTGCACTGTTTAATATCCAACAGTTCTTCTTGCCTTAAACTTTGAGGAAATCAAACAAACTAAAGGCTCGAGAGTTCCAGACACACATTGCTTTCATAGAGTGTTTTTGTTTGTTTGTTTGTTTGTTTGTTTATAACCTAACAATGCCTAGCTTTCCAACCACTTTCAAGAAAAGCCAATGAAATGGATTTGGGGGCAGGATCTGAAAGGAGTGACTGTTATTTGGCTTAGCAGTACGGTGCACAGTGTAGACATGGAAAGTGCTGGGAGAGGGGAAAACGGGTTTGAATCCTGACTTGGACACAGTTACATTTATTCATTCATTCACCAAATATTCATGGAGCCCCTCTTAAGCACTGGGCACTGTTCTGAGCTCTGGGAATGGGACAGAGAATGAAGTGAGATTCCTACTCTCATGGAACATACGGAGGAAATTGAGCAAGCCATTAAATCACTTTGGAACTAAGTTTTCCTCTGTATAAATTCTGTGATGGTGGATGGCACTGATATGATCATTCCCCACTACACTGCTGTGACAGACATCACTAATACATTACAAATGACCCTTGAATCATGATGGTTTGACTTAGGGTTTTCCACCTTGTGATTGTACAAAAGCATACGCATATGACAATTCTGTTTTTCATTCTCAGTATTCAATAGATAACTTGAGCTGTTGAACACTAGATTATAAAATAAGCTTTGCATTTAGATGATATCACCCAAGTGTTGGCAAATATAAGTGTTCTGAGCATATCTAAGATATTGAATCCCTTTTTGACACTTAATTTTTGCCATTAACATTGATTGGGGTGTAACCCCATCAGAAGTTGAGCAGTATCTGTATATCCCTCCCAGCAGCCACATTCAGTTACTAGACAATAAGTCTGTATGTTTTCCTGGGCAAGATGAATTTTATAGTCCTTCCTGTTCCATAATTTCATTCTTGTTAATTACTTCTAATTATAATGGAAAGGCATTATACCAAGGGAAAACTACAATAGAACTCCAAATTGTAGAACTATGAAAGCTGCAGATTTTATAAGAAAACAACCATCACTTTAGTTTGATGGGTGTAAAAATATGGGTTAATCTAAAATTATTTTACATCTTTGGGTCTGAGGTTTTTCCCCTCCACAGTCTTTTGGTACAGGTTCTTTCTCATTTGACCTGCTGTGCTTGGGTCCTCGATAGGAGAGGTGCTCACCAACATGGTTTCTAATACCTTCTACTTGGGAAGCTTCCTTCCTAACATGAGGTTGGGCAGCTTTAACTCCCGTTTGCTTTGATCAGTGTTTCTGTTTTGCACTAGATAACAGCAGTGCCCCACGGAAGTCTTCCTGGGCTCTAACATGGCCATCTGGTCTCTTTTGCTCCACTCCGTACAGTGGAAGCCAAACCAAGGCTGAACGGATGGCAGCCTCTTTGGGGAATTTTTGCCTCAGATTCCAGTGACACCTGTGCAGTGTGATTTTCATTCTGATTCCCATCATTACCCTCAAAGCAGACTAACAAACCCAGTGTGCCCAAATTGAGCTCAAATTACCAAAACAAAACAAAAACAAACAAAAATGAGGGGAGAGAAGGGGTGTTTCTGTTGAAATTGATAACCTCACCCTTTTGGGTCTTCAAATGCCCCTCTAGGTAAGGATATTGGGGGAACTGGGCATATTTAATCCTATTGAATACACACACACACACACACACACACACACACGTACTCACAAGCCTGAAATTCTAAAATCTGCTCCTATGATTTTCAGATCATACTAAACCAAAGATGCTTCTCTACTTAGTGGAATTTTTTATCTCCTTTTGGGAAATAAGACCTGGAGTGTGTGGTATCCCAGGGTGGTGCTCCTGTAATTTGTGCCAGTATTGGAATTTGGTGATTCTCATAGAAGCCAGCTCTTCTGCCTCCAAGAACCCCCCCAGAAATAGACTGTTTCCACCATTGAATTATGGGTATTTAACACAAGGAACATTTTAAGAAAGAGAAAAATATCCTTATTCCCCTCTTGGGGTAGGTGAGCTCTCTTTTTCTGGTGAGAGAAATATGGAAAACAGAAAATTAGATTTTGTCGTGTTGAAAGCAGTAGGTATTCCACGTAGAACTGAAATAACTGAGTTTTCCCCGTAAGCTTGTTATGGACATCTGTCTTGTTCACAGCTCAGCTGTGCTAGGATAGTAGGGTAGGTTGTTGAGACACTAAAGAAATACCCAGAGACAGCTTTTGAGAAGAAATACCCAGAGACAGCTTTTTGTTGCAGCTTACCAACAGGTATGAGCAGTGGAGGACACCGTTAATAGGAAAGGGTCCGCGAGAAGCACATAGGGGTCCAGTAAGAATCTTTGGAAGGTCTTCGAAAGGTCAGCACTCAGCAACAGCGCCACTCTGGAGGCTCTGTGGCAGCATTCTGGACGAGCATTCATGAGGAAGTATTTGAGTGTCCAGTGGTGGCCAGCTGGACTGTAGCTCATATCCTGTCCACAGTGCTCTGTTCTGCATGAGGAGGGGTTTTATAGATTGGGCTCTGGAAACAGTGACATCCTTAGCTTGCTTTGTTCTATTGTATGGCCAGCATTCCAGGGAATAATTGACTTAGCATGTGGCCAAGAAGGCGGGTCTTGTTACGATTTCCCAGTGCCTACTGTCTCTTAGATAATACTTCTCTGCAGTCCAGTCTGGGGTGCTTACCATGTCCCTTGACTTGGCAGAAGTCACGGAAATGCAGAGCGGCATTCCAGACACACTGTAAATAAATAAATGCCTTATTTTTTCCCATTTATTTACAATGTAAATAAATAAAATTTTATACTGTAAATAAATAAATGCCTTTTCTTCCCCTCAGGGATGATTCAACATCCCTACGTTTTCTAGAGCCACAGGAAAGATATTTATGGAAAGATATTTCAAGTTTGTGAAATAAAGCAGACCCCTCCCCAGTTTTAAGGGGTGTAGTTAATAGTTTTGGTGTAGGGTAATGTGTTAAATTTACATGGGAAATCGACCACACATAAACAAAAACAGCAGGAAACAGTACAGTTTTAACAGCATCAATTCTGAAATCAAATTGAGCAGAATCCCACCTCCACTTTGGGTTTTTGTTTTTGGCAGTATTAGAGACCTAGCCCAGGAGTGCTCTACCACTGAGCTACATCTCTGTATTTTTTATTTTTGAGATAGGATTTCACAGAATTGCCCAGGGAAGACTTGAACTTGTAATCCTCCTGCCTCAGCCTTCCTCAGTGCTAGGTTTACAGGCGTGTGCCATCACACCCAGCCATCCACCTCTTCTTTTTTTTTTATTTTTTGGTTTTTCTCCGGTACCGGGAACCGAACTCACAACCTTGCGCTTGCCAGGCAGGCGCTTTGCCGCTGAGCTAAATCCCCAGCCCCTCCATCCACCTCTTCTTATTTAACTTTCTTTAAGGCTCAATTTTTCATGTGTTGGATGGGCATAATAAAAGCATCCACTTTCTAGCTTAATGTGAAATGTAATGGAATTATCCTTGCATCATGCTTAGCATGTTGCCTGGCACATACTCTGTGTTAGTTACTGTTTTGGCAACTATGCCTCTGTTTCCCCCTCTGTAGGCTGAGCATAAGAATGAGGATTAAATGAACTAATTTACTGAAATGTTTACTGCAGTGTCTGGATCATGAGTGCTGTGAAGTGTTGATTCATCTTTGTAGCACAGATTTAAAATGTTCTTCTTACATCTGCCCATTAAAAGGGCGGTATATAAAATGGTTAGGAATCTTGAGTTCAAAACCTGAAATTTGATGTTAACACTTTTGAACTTTGTGAACTTAACCTTGAGCTTTCCATCAACAGAATGAGACTAGTAATAGAATCTCCTTTAAAGGGTTTTGAAAACTAATGGAGTGAATCTCCGTCAAGTGCTTAGCATGGTGCCGGACATACATTCAGTGTTACGTGAATGTTTGCTCATATCTTTAGGCTATTGCTTTGAAATGTTGGCCGCAGCCGGGCAGAGGGTGCCAGGAAGCGCTGCTGGGGCAAGAGTGCTTTTCCGGGGATAATGGGAAGGTGGCTGTTTTGCTGTTTGCAGATGTGGTTGCCTTCCTCGACTTTCCCTATGCCTCCAGTGGCGAAAACACGGGCATCGTGAAGAAGCTCCTGAGGTTTCAGAACCGAGAGCTGGAGGCCACCCGATGCCAGCGGATGGATTACCCAGTGTAAGGGTGGGCGCACCCAGGGGCTGGGGGGGCGGTACGTGTGTTGGCTGAGGGCTGGAGTGGGCTTCTGGAAGGATTCTGTAAGAGGGCTCACCCTTCTAAGGTGCTTTGCACAGATGTTAAGGTCTACACATCTTAGACTGAACTGAAGCACTGGAATCCTCAAAGTACGCTTGAATTATTCGTGCACCTGGGAACCCTCCATCTGCCCAAGTCTTTATATGTTGGTCCCAGGCATGCAAGAGTAGGCAGCAAGGCAGCCCCAGGCCTTGCAGAGTTTCAGCGTCAGCCAGCCAGAACCAGCACAGACTGCAGCCTTGGCTTTGCCTCTTCTGTCCTGGAAGATTGGATGAGCTGCTTGAAATCTCACAACTTCTGATCTCCACCATTGATTTCAGCAAAATCCACATACAGCTATTTTTTCCTCCTGCTGGATTGAAGATGCTACACATGGTTCCCGGTTTACCTCAGATCAGATGGATTTAGCAGAGCGATTTAATTCTTCCCATGCTCCTGGCTGCAGAGAGATCTTGAGTCACTTTACCGAGCGTATGTTCTTGCTAAGTTTCCTTGTAATAACTTATCTTCACGAGCTTGCTCGGCTGGGTGGGTCAGGAGGGAGCTGCGTGACACCATCTGCCTGTGTATCCTGCCACTGATTTTTAGGCCAGATTATAAAGCCACAAATATTCTAAAGGGCTTGTTAGGCTGTATCCCCCAAAGAACCCAGGGCCACTACCACACTAACTCAAGTGGGGAGTTGGTCACAGGGTACACGGAGACAACTTGATACATTTCTTTGACCTTGAATCTTGCTTCGTGGGCCAAATGCACTTGTTCCCAGCTCCTCATCTTAGAGCTGCTGGTCACTGTCACATGTGTAGCATCAAGCAAGTGTTCTGCAAATATTTTCTAAGTGATTGATGGATCACATAGCTCGGCTAAGTGTACCTTAGTTAGGTTGGCCACTGTTCTTTTATCCACACTCCACAAATCACAGTTGTACAAAGTTTTTTCAACTAAAATAGACACAAGTCCAGGAATCAAACAGATAAATTGTTTCGTATTGGTCAGCCAGAGCTGTGATATTGAACAACCTGATATGAGCATTAAAATATCATGTATGTGTCCTAATTATCACGTAGTGAGCCTTTTGCAGATTGTTTCATTTTTCTACCTTAGGGTTTTTTATCTTGGAAAGAAGTAAAATTGTTCAAAAAGCCCTAAGTATGTTTTTTTCTTTTAATCATAAGTATTTGAATGGCTCCTTATCAAGATCACCTCTTATTAAAATTATTCTACATCTGCCTTTCTAAGCTTTTTCAGATCCTCCGAGAGGCACTGCAACAGTTTTTGGTGCAGGCTAGAATGTGTGCTCCTTCTGTACACTGAAGCTTAACTCTCATCTTTGCAGTTACTATAACTACGTCCTTTGTCTCAAGAATCAAGCTCTGCAAGCTGATCTCCCATGATGAACACGAAGGCAAATCCATCCCTTCATTGGAAAGAAAGCAATTTACTTTGTCTTTGTTAACTATAATTACCTGTTCTTGGATGATATCAATCTGTAGAATTTTTTTTTTTCTCCTTTAGGTTTACTGTTTCATTGTGGCTTTATTTACTCCATTATTGCAAGGCCAATCTCTGCGGGATTCTGTACTTTGTTGATTCTAATGAGATGTATGGCACACCTTCTGTGTTTCTTACTGAGGAAGGTGAGTAGAAAACAGCCTTTAAAGTGATACGGTAATTTTCTTACGTCCTGTCTACTGGCAAATATGTCTGTCTGTAATGAGGAAGATATTGTCAGTGTGACAGCTCAACAAGCATGTGTTTATTCTCAAATTAATCAGCGGCAATTGTAGGGTCATTGTAATCATGCCATTTACTTACATTTGTAATAAAATAAAGTAGGAGTGGGGATGAAAGAACTTATTCTTTCTATAAAAACAAGTCGATTAGTTTGGGGGGAGGCAGTAAAAAGAGGTGGAAGAGAGGTTGTAGAATTAAGACAACTGTAAAAGGTTGGGAAGGGGCTGGGGATTTAGCTCAGCGGCACAGCACCTGCCTGGCAAGAGTGAGGTCGTGAGTTCAATTCCTGGTACTGGAAGAAAGCCACAAGAAAAAAAAAAAAAAAAGGTTGGGAAAATAAATCTAGATGGGCCTTGGACTCCGATTGTTTTAGAAACTGTTTGTGCCTGTGTGTACTGTGTGTGTGTGTGTGTGTGTGTGTGTGTGTGCAGGTGTGTACGTATGTGTGTGCGTGTTTTTTTTTTAACTTGGAAGAAACAGAAGTTGGATTTTGCTTATGTAAGAAAGACCACAGGGAGCCAAATGTGAGCTTCAAATTGAACTTTTTTCCTAGAATCTTAAAGTAAATGTCTTATTTACAAAGAAATGCATTTATAGGTGTAGTTTTTTATTTTGCTTTGTTTTCTGTGTGGTTTAGCCTTGCAGTTGAAATTGTTGAAAAGGTGCATCTACTTTATTTACTCCTAGGTTTTTTTTTTTTTTTTGGTCATTTTCATGAGATTTAATTTTCCTTTTAGGTCATTTGCATATTCAAATGCATCTTGTCCAAGGAGAAGACCTTGCTGTAAAAACTAAATTCACTGTCCCTCTGAAGGAGTGGTTTCGACTGGATATCTCTTTTACTGGAGGCCAGGTATCTGAATATTTCATCTGTGAATCATTTTTACTTTTTCACTTAAGATTAAGCATGGCTGTGATGCCAGAGAGCAACAAAAGCTGCAAGCAAATTTGTGGTAAATGATAGACTCTTTACAGCTCTGCACTTGCTAAATCAAACTTTTATAGATGGAAGTTTAAATCATAAGAATCTCATCCCATTTAATTAACTTTTAAAGTGCTTCCTTCGGAGTATATTGTGAATGAGTAAATAATATAGCCAGTTCTATAGCCACAATTATCTGAGCAATTCAGTCCTTTTCCCCCAGGGAGATGGGCTTTGTAGAGATAAATGCTAAAACAGCATCGGCTATGTTTATATTGTATATTATCAGATCTACAACATTTTTTAAAAAAAGAAATTTATTGGCTAGTTCAGCTAAGAAATGGTTTGACTCTTCTTGGCAGTTGAAACAATTGCTGTGTTTTGGCATTAAATGCATTCATAATAAGCAGCAAACATAAGTGATCATTCTGGTGCGACGAGGGGTCTTTATCTACTTTGTACATAAAACATTGCACTAACTGTTTCAAACTCTCATAACACAGATTTTATGGATTATGGCAAATCTGTCGTTATAATTGAAGACAATTCCATTTCTCCATACACTTGATGCCAGTATACTATCTTTTTCTGCTTACTTTATTTTCCCACCAGCTTGTCGTATGGATTTGTGCCTTTCTTGTAACAAAACTGGAAGAGGTGTTTTGTTTGTCTTGTGCATTAGATAGTACATGGTCTTCCTTTGATGTTTAGATTGACCACATTTCCTTTTCCTGAGAAAATAAATCGGGTCAATTCTTGCTGCCTTCCTGAGGAGACTCTGTAAAATGTTAGCTGGGAGTTTTATATGTTTGCCTGTTTCCTTGGAAATGTTAGGTGACATAGCTGTGGTCCACGTCCCCACTTCCCACGTAAGTGAGACTCACTGCTGCTTTCTCCCGAGGAGGAGCTCGCACTGCTCTGTGTCACTGAGACAGGCTTAGACCCTCAGAGCATATTCACAGATCTTATTTTGCACCTGCTGTATGTAAGGCATCAGGCTCCAATTGCTTATAGACTATTTATGGAAGTCACATTAAGCACGTGAAGAGAAGTCATAAAGCAAGCTTAATTGCCAAATGATTCATATTGATTTCTAGAAGGGAGACAACATTTCATGCTATGATGCTTAGGGAAGGTTTTGTGGAGAAAGTTTTCATGTTTGGGCAGAATTTAGATGGGGAACAGAGGCAGGAACATTTTAGCATGTTGTTGGGGGTTAACAGATTAGCAAGTCTGATCTTTAGTGCATTTGGTGTTGCTGCATGGACTACCTGAGACTGGGCAATCCTTAACGAAAAGAAGTTAATTTCTTATAGTTCTAGAGATTGGAACGAACAATATCAAGCTGCCCACATCTCGCGAGAGCCTTCTTGCTATGTCGTATCATGGCGAGGGCATTGTGTAGCAAAAGGCTCTGCTAGCTCAGGGCTCTCTTCCTTTTATACAGCCACAGTGCCATCCTGGGGACCTCACTGTCCTAACTTCTCCTAGCTCTAATTACCTCCCAAAGGCCACACCTTCAAATGTCATCAGCATATGCATCTATGGATTAAGTTTCCAACGCATGAATTTTTGAGGGACACATTCAAACCATAGCAAATGGAGTAGAAATTTGCAGACTGTGGAAAACCAACAGAAGAAAAAAATATGTCGTTCAAGCTAGAATGTGCAGACCGCTGAATATCAAAGAATTTGTACAGTTTGAAGGCTGTGGGGTGTCATGGAAGACTTTTGAATGGACAAATGAAAATCCTTTAGTCAGAAAGATTAATGTAAAGGCAGAATACATAGTGGGTTGAGTAGGAGAAAAGTAGGAAGGCCTGAAAGATGAAGAGAAAGAAACGTTATTTTTTAGTGTACGTTGACTTTCACCATCGTCTTTCCTTCTGTCTGCTCTAGTCCCCCCATGCACATTGTCCAAATCATTATTAATGATTTCCCACATCAGACCCACCTCCAGTGGGGCTGCCATCCTCTCTGTTTTTGCCAAATGGACAAGTCACTTAAAGTCAGTGATTGGATCAGGGAAACAACCGAATTGAATCATTTTCTTTTCTGAACACATATGCTGTGTGGTGGTGTGGGGTTGGTTTTTAATGGATTAGTCTGTCTTCCGTAAATGCTGTTTCCTCGCCTTTGAGACCCAAGCGTAGGCTTGCTAAACACTTTCTGTGGAAGGACTGAGAGGGTAAAAGCAGCTCCGAAGTCAAGGGGATCATGCTGCAGTCCAGGACGCAGAACCCGCATGAGGCAGCTAACAACATTCATGACAAAAACACTATCTCCCTTGAAGCAACTGATGCTTCTCGTGACTTAGAGAATGGGGGTGGAAGCACCGGAGCATGAAGGACACATGGAACCATCTTGTTTCCCCTCCAGGCTTTCTTGAAATTAGAATAAAATTTCAAAAATGCTTTGTGGTATCATACACATTTCCTTGTCTTTTTGTGCAACAAGCTTGTAAACACAAACACGTCAAACTAACGTTGGCTGGGAGTTTAGGAGCGTCTGAAACCCACTTGCAAAAACTGCATTGTAGGTGTTTTTAACCACATGCAGACATTTGGGGAAGCCAAATGTTTAGATCTGAACTGTCACTTAAAATCTCAGGTGTTCAGAGGTGGGAATTTTGGAAAGTGACTGGATCAAAGGGTGCTACCCTCACTCCTTGGAGTCATACATGGATGGGTTTATAGCTGAATGGGAGGGCTGATTGGAAGAGATCACTGGGACTGGACATTTGGAGGGTCTGTCTTCCTCCCTGGCTCCTCCTCTCTCTGCTTTCTGGCTGCCAGGAGGTGAGCACTTTTCCTCCACCCAGGCTTTTCCACCATGCTGTTTCTGCCTTGGAGCCAGCTAACCATGGACTGAATCCCTGGAAACCCCTGAACCATAAGCCAGATTAAATCCTTCTTCCTTTAAGTTTTAGGTATTGGGTATTTTGTCCCAGTGACAGGACCGTGACTAATCCACCAAAGTTACTGATGCTTAAAATACGCACATGGCTAGTAAACTGTAAAGTTCATTTCTTCACAAAGGGATTGATCAAGTAAAGACTATCCGACACACTGTACAAGTACGTAATTTATACCAAGCGTTATATTATTCTTGTATCTCTCCCAACACAGATAGTGGTAACCACCAGCACTGGACAGGATTTGAAAAGCTACCATAATCAGACTATTAGGTAAGTATTATTTTTCTTTTCATTTGAAATTTGGCTGGATGAGGGTTAAGGAACTGTCACATCTTAGTGTTCAACCTTAATGTTATTCTATATTTCCTTAATCAGCTCTTCCAAGCATGGACTGTTCTCTGCCCTGTAGCTAGTCTTTGTACTTTTTCGTTTTTCTTTTACCATGCACAGGCTCTCCTGATTTTCCCCACAACCTTTCTTTGTTACTAAGCAAGGAAAACTAGTCCTCTTCCACTTCTCACTGTAAATTCTTCCTTTCGTGGCACTTCATAATTCATTTTCTTTGAAAATTATCTTCTATGAAGGACTCAGAAAAAAAAATACAAATCACAGTATGAATGCTGCAAGTTGAGAATGGTTGGTGAGTTTGGCTTAGTATGAAAGCATAAACGCAGACAGTCTTCATATTTATGTTTGTAATCTAGATTGGAAATGTATGCAACTACTGATATTGGTGTAACTTTTCATCCTTATGTGACCATTCTCTACAAGAGCTACGGAAACTGACAACTGTGTTTTATAATTTTTTAATTTGCTCCCATATCCATGTATAATGGTAGATTTTATGGTGCCAAAACCACAGGGCACGAACCTTCATTAGGAATTTGAGATACCCCAGCGTAGCTGGCTAATGTATGTATAATTGAATATTTAAGAATAAGTGTAAAGATCAGAGATAAAAATTACCAGTTTTGTAATGTATAATTTAAAAAAAATGTATCAAGACAGCCAGGCACTAAGGAAGTGGTTTATTGCTTCGGTCTCAGTCATCTCCCTGCATCAGGCAGAATGATGTCTCTCCAGACAGGGCCGAAGTACCAAGCCGCAAACAACCCGGATTCTCTCAGAAACTGATTATTAAAGAGAGGCAAGCGGAGAGGGTGCAGGTTGGAAAGGAGAGGCATTCTCTTTGTCTTTTAAAAACCCATTCCCGTTTACTACACAGAAGTCAAAATAATTCTTGGTTTCACAGCTGGATTAAAGGATTAGAGTCTTATAGAAAGGCTAAGGAAGTGTACCCTAGCCCGCAAAGAGACGGTCAGGAAGTGATTGATAGCTGTATCAAGGCCTAGGGGATGAGGCGAAGGACCAAGCAAAAGTATGAAAGTAGAGCAAGGTGGATTCATGTCAGCCGAAAGCATTGAACCGATAGCAGCTCTCTGTTCTCTAACAGTGGCCATGGGGCTGCTGTGACAAGTTCAAGCACAGAGGAGCTCAGAGTTATTTGAAGAATCAGGCTGCTTGGGAAACTCTTCCAGTGCCATGCTCTGTGGAGTGGGCTTAAAATATTAAGGGCTGATTTGTGTTTCAGGTTATGATGTCTAAAATAGTAGCTTTCTCCTTCTTCGCTGTCACCCACCCCAACTTTAGACATTTATGACGACTGACTAAATTTCACAGGCTCCTCTTCATTTTCTGTGTCAGGGCTTCCTTTTCTCCAACCCTTACGAAGCTGGAGGCCAACATGAGTGAACTGGAGACAGAATCACAGTGTGATCTCAGGCTGCACCGGGGTGAGGTGCGTGAGGGACGTGTCCTGAGCATAAAAATTGGAGGAGTGCTCAGAAGTCAGGGCTAGAGCTGCTGTAACCAAGTACCAAAATAGTGCTTTCCCAACAGAACTCATCTTCTCAGTTCTGGAGGCCCAAGATCGCCACCCAGGCAGGGCCACGCCTCTCTGCAGGCACCAGGGAAGAATCTGTCTGGCCATTTCCTGGGCTTCCAGCGGCTCCTCGGCTTTGGCAGTATAACTCCACCTTCACAAGCCGTTCTCCCTGTGTGCGTGTCTGTGTCCGAATGTGCCCTATGACAAAGGGTGCCATGTGGATCAGGAACCCACCCGCTTCATGTTGCCCCGCCTTACCTAATTACATCGCAGTGACCCTGTTTCCAAATAAGGTCACAGTCTGAGGTACAGGGCTTCAGATTTCAGGGTATGAATGAGGAGGGGGCACAGTTCAACCCAATAATAATCATGATTTTTAAAAAAAATCTCAGTATGATATTTTTAAAAATCAAAATGAATGCAAACAATACTTGATGAACAAAACAACCAAATGTTAAGTAAAGACAAGATCTATATGATCATATAAAATTCCAGGGATCAGTACTGATTTTCGAGGGATAGCAATTCAAAATCCCAGTGAAGGCATCAAATGACTCCTTACCTAGTACTACGGACAGCGTCCAGACCCGAGTGTGCTTTGTCACTGCCTCAGTGGCCTATCTGTGCTCTTGGAACCCTCACCAGTAGAACCAGGCTGCATAGGATGTGCAGATCTCTCCGGGGTCCCTGTGGTTAGGTATCTGAAATCTCATTCTTAGCGAGAACTTCCCTTTCATAGTGGGCCAGGCAGTTAAAGAACATCACAGATTTCAGCCTTCCTGGTCATAGGTGTTCCAAGAGAGCCTCACAGCCCTTCTTCTGTTAATTCCTGCAATGCAAGCATAGCCTTGGCTGTTAAACCAACAAAGTGGTATACGAAGACCATGAATTAAGTGCTCAGGAGCACAGTGCTGTGCATAAATGAGAGGTTGTCAGTGATACTCAGTGACAGGTGACAACCTCAGGCCTCTGGAGTGTTGAATTAATTCATCCATTCAGCACATTTATTGAGCATATATCATGTGCTAGACGTAGTGCTTGACTCTTGGAACAAAATGATAAACAGAAAGGATACAACGTTCCCTGACTTCACGGAGCTAAAAACAAATATGTAGCAGGAGAGAAAGACATTAAATAAACACATTCACAAGTAAATTTAAAACTGCAAATTCTGGTGAATGCTAGGAAGGCAATAGAGAGGGTACCCCGCTTCAGAGGAAAACTGAAGGAGGGAGGGTCCGGATTTAGATCTCATGCTGCAGAGGAGAGTTACTGTTGGGGGAGGTTCCTCTAGCAGAGAAGCAAGCCAAGTGGTGCTGTCCTCATTTTGAGTGATGCCAGCCAAACAGCGTTGGTGGTTCTTTCAGGCCACTGTGCTCCGCAGTAGTTACCCGGGGCCCTCTGTCTAGATAAGAGTCAAGATAGTTTGCCGGCACGCCTGAGGTTTTCCGAAGAGATGGATTTGGGCTTTAGAACACACTGGCTCAGCTTTTATGTCAGTGCAATTGATGACCATCAAACAGTGCACGGTACACGGAATCTCTTGTGATCTTTGTGCAGACACTGAGCATTTCAGAGGGGAAAATGTAAAAGCATGGAGGTAGAGATGTAGACTGAGATCAAGCTAGACAGATGTCCTGACAGTTGATAATGGTGACAGTTTTAAAAAACTAAAATCCGGTGCCATAGGGCCTGAGTGATTTATTATCCATTGAAAAACTCAGTGAAAGCAGATATCCTTTTAATAGATCTTTACCTTAAATGTTTTATATTAATTTAAAAATGTACAACAGTTCCCCCCTTTTTAACAATGGGCAGTTGAGGTCTCAAAATAGTAAATGGCAAATTCCCAAAGTAAACCTCAGTTGTAAGCTGCACACTGTTCGGAGTAGCACAGTGAGATCGTGCTGCCCCACCTCATCCCGCCTGCGATGTGATTCATCTCTCGGTCCAGCGTTGCCATGCAGTACATGGTCCCTGCCTGCTAGCGATTTAGTATTTAGTTATCAGACCACCTATTGAGGGACTGAAGTGTTTGTGTTCAAGTAACCCTATTTTACTTAATAACGCTCCCAAAGAGCAGCAGCTGTGATGCTGGCAATGCAGAAATGCCAAAGAGAAGCCATAAAGGGCTTTCTTTAAGGTCCCCTGACATGATCACAGGAAGGTAAGGGGGTTGGGGGTGTCTCTCAGTGGCAGAGCACTTACCTAGCATGTGCAAGGCCCTGGGTTCAGTGCCCAGCAGCATACACACACACACACACACACACACACACACACACACAAAATGCAGTGATAGGATGTTTTGAGAGATCCGCATTTTGAGAGATCATATAACTTATATTACACTGCATTGTTGTGACTGTACCACATTAGTATTAGTTACTGCTAACCTTTCAGCATGGCTACTGTATAAATTAAACCATATCACATGTGCATATGTATAAGAAAAATACAGTATATATAAAATTCAGTTTATTTGAGGTCTCAGGCGGCCATTGGGGGTCTTGGACGGTGTCCCCCGTGGACACAGGGCATCTACAGAAGTGTGCATTCGTTTGCCTATCTTTCTAAATAGTGTTTTTCCTTTGATCCATGAATTGAAGTTCCCTGAGGCTTTTTATTTTTTTTTTGCATGAAAAACACTCAATTTCTTTTTGTTCCAAAAGAAAACAAAGACATTTGCGAAACTATTTGAATGCAAAACTCATCTAGGTTTTCCTTCAGTTTATTTTCCCAGCCTTTTACAGTCGTCTTAATTCCACAACCATTTTTAGTAACCTCTTTATTGATTACTTTACAAAAATTGCTTTTAAAGAAAGAATATTCTTCCCCATTCCTATTTTATTGCGTTGCATATTTAAGTAAATAGGACCATTACAGTGACCATACGATTGCCATTGGCTGATGTGACAACACATCTTACTCGTACTAAGAGTAATTTAAAAAATGGGGGCAAAAGCCCAAGGCTGGGTCAGGTGTGGTGGCTCACACCTGTAATCCCAGCACTTGGGAGGCTGAGGCAGGAGCACCTATTGCCAGAAGTTTGAGGCCAGCCTGGGCCGCGGAGTGAGTTTAAGGACAGCCTGAACCACATAATGAGATCCTGTCTCAAAAACCCTGAACTTTATAAAAGTCCAGCAGTGGACTAGGCAAATAATAATAACTATAGCTCACAGTTATGGTGCTTACTATGTGCGCGTTGCTGTTCCAAAAGCTTTATGTGTTAAGAGTTGAGCATTTCTAACCAGGAAATTTGAAATCCAAAGTGTTGTGAAGTCTGACAACTTTTGAATGCTGTGTCGGATTTGAGAGCCATTTAGATGCTCAAAAAAATTCAGACTTCAGAGCATTTCTAATTTCAGATTTTTAGATTAGGTAAATTCCATCTGTGAAAGTCTTTGCCCCTTATTGCAAAATCTGAAAACCTTCAAAATCTGAAGGGTCCCAAATTGGCCCCAAGCATTTTCGTCAAGGGACACTCAGCCTGTAGTTTACTGAACCCTCACCGTACGCCTGTAGGTGGACATCATTACCATTTCCGTTTCTAAAATGGGGACATGAAGGCTCCAGAGAGTGCTCTGCATTGGGGAGCATCTAGTGTGTCCTGGGCATCAGTGAGTAGGTTCTGGGGGGAGTGGGGACCTCAGGTCACTGTGGGTTTGGTTAAGGGAGGTCCCTGAGAGAGATTCTACCGCAAGAAAGTGATTCCCACCATTGAGTTCCAGGCACAGTCTCACACGAGTTGTTGGAATATTTGATCTTTTCAGGGTCTTGAAAAACAGAGTCAGTTCTTACTCTAAGAGTTAATGACTTTGTGATCCCTTGTGAAAAGAAGGGTGAAATTCTTCATGTTTCCCTAGTCTTTCGGGGCTAGGATTCGGAAAAGACAAGTGCCCCGAGACAAAGCGCTTCCTTTCCATCTGGGTTGTGCTTGCAGAGAGCTGGCGAGCAGTGTGCACGGGCTGCTGTGAGTTGCCGTGGCTGGAGCATGTCCATTTCTCCACCCTCTCTGCTTCCAGTCCAGCAAGTGCACCTGCTGGTGTCGGGCTCCTTCTCCAGCCCTGGAATAACGTGGGCTGACTGGCTTCCATGGTCTGACTGGGGGTCACTTGTTCTGTTCAGATCAGCCTGGCCCTTGGCTTCCTGGGCTCCCCAGGCTGCTGGCGGCCTGCCTGACACTGCTTCCTTCCTCTGTGCTTCCATCTGCCCTCGTGCTCCATTCTCTTTTCTTCTCTGCCTGACTTCTCACTTGCTGTCTGTCTTGACCCTTCCCTCACCCCCGCTGTTCACATATGCTCTGCTCGCACCTTGTCCCCTATTCCTATTTTAATTTTTAAATAGGTAACGACTGCATATGGTTTTTTAAACTCAGAGCTGAAAAGGAAAGAAAGGAAAAAATAAAAAGCTATATGAAACTGTAATTGAATGTTCTGCTTCTAACTCTGCCCCCTCACCCTCAGCCCCACCCCATGGGGAAATGCTTTTATTAGTTTCTGGTATTTACAGGGTATGATTGAAAACTATAGTGAATGTTTGAATTTTAAAAATGTATTACAGTAGAAGACGCACTGCCATGAATCCCCTTCAAAATACCCCAACACACTTATCCCATCAGTTGTGCCACTTTCTGAAGCAGTTCTGCAAGTCCTCTTTCATGAATGTCTTTTGTTGCACTGTCACGGCTGCTTCATTGTCATGAATCTTTTCAACATGTTTATCTTTTTGATCATTTTGTCTTTGGAGAAGAGACAGAGTTGCAGGATGCCGGATCCAGTGAATAAGATGGATGAGGACACACTGTAGCGTTTTATGTGCCTGTCTTTCCACTAGGTGGTGCTCAGCAGTAGCATGAACTATACTTTTTATCACACCTTCTAAAGACCTCAGGAAAGAGGATTTCCAGAACTGCTTCAGAAAGTGGCAAGAACGATGGGATAAGTGTCTTCAAAGTGAACGAGAGTGTTTTGAGGGGGACGGATAGGAATGTGTGTTTTACTGTGATAATTTAAAAAAATTTTATTAGTACATGTTTACAGTACATAATGATTACATTCATTGTGGGGAGTTACATTAATTGTGGGGAATGAAGATGTGTTACATATACATAATACATCTTAATTCTTTTTTATTCCATTCCCTTCCTGTCCCTTCCCTAACCTCTTCCACCATTTCTCTATCCCTTTCCCTTTTGCAAAAGTTTTCTCTCTGTTTCCTTGTTAGTTTTTATTTTTCTCCTCAATTTGTTTATACTTTGGGTTTCTTATATTTAAGCTTGTGTGTCTAATTTATTTCACTTATTAATATAGCCTTAAGGTACACTCATTTTCCTATAAATGACTGAAGTTTATCCTTTTTATGGCAGAGTAGTACTCCATTATATATAAATACCACATTTTATTTTTCCATTTATCTGGAAAAATGGGCATCAGATGGGCATATAAGCCACTTCCAACATTTTGCTATTATGAGGTGTGCTGCTATAAACATAAATATGCTGTGTCATTGTTATATGTTGTTTTAACTCTTTCGGGAAAATACCCAGAAGGAGAATAGCTAGGTTGAATGGATTACTGTAATAATGTTTTTAATTTAAACATTCACCTTATATTTTGAACCCTTGTACCAACAGAGTTTATGCAAATACCAAAAAAATTCCATTCTCCTCTTTCATGGGTAAAAACTCTGTATTTTTCATTCTTATATTTATATATATATATTTTTAATATATTTTATACTCTGTATTTTTTCCTTTTATTTGTTTACTTAATATAATGTGAGGGTCTCTGAGGTGCTCTTTTCTCTTTTGAAAGCCGCATGTCAATGAAGCTCAGGTCCTGGGCTCACCAGGTGGCTGGCCTGTCTTCCCTGACATACACCCAGGTTCCCTGTCTTTGGTAGATATAAACAAAGCTGCATTGCATATGCACCAGTCCACTCTTTCTCTGTTCCTTTCCTGATGCTTCAGCCCCTCGGGGCAGTGTGGGCATCTGACCACACCTGTGCTGACCTTTCATCTTTGACCAAGCTCTGTATCCTTGCTGTGGCTTCTCCCCTGACTGAATTCACCTCCGTCTTTATCCATCGCCAGATTTTCAGCTTACCCCCACTGCCACTTTGCATTCCTTCCACAACTTTTTTTTTCTTGTAGAGCAAACTGTTTCTGGTTAAGACTAACAGTTCTCCAGAAGTCCAAGGAGTGTCACCGATATGAGTAGTCAACGCAAAACCGTTTCCTGTAGGGCAGGAGCTTTGCTAGTTGTTTTAAATCCTTGCCTGACCCTAACTATTTGTGTGGGACCGTCATTTCACAAAAGAAAACACTCTCTTACCAAGTCTTGGGACCGGACCAAGGTTACCGGTCTGCTAACTAGCAGAGTTGGGACCCTAGTCCAAGTCCACCTGACCTCGGGTGGTCTGTCCTGCCGAGACCCTGGGAAGATTTGTGGCAATTTGGATTAAGTCAAGAAGGGTCAGTGAAAGAAACTCTCTGTAAGCAATCTGTTTGCAGCCCAGCGCGCTCCTGATCTTTTGCATTCTTCTCCAGCTTCTACGAAGATTTCCATTACAATGACACAGCTGGGTACTTCATTATTGGAGGGAGCAGGTACGTGGCAGGCATTGAAGGATTCTTTGGACCCCTGAAGTACTATCGCCTCCGCAACCTGCACCCCACACAGGTGAGCGGGAGATCCGGGCGTGTGTAGGTGAGGGCTGTGCCACCGTGGGGCGCTGAACCCTGCGTCAACAAAAGATTTTTCTAGACCAACCATCAGCCCTGGCACCAAACATAATTAATGTTGAGGCTTCCCCCCAGCCAATGCAATAATGGATTTCTGTTAACGTTTGGTTCATTTAGTACTCATAAAATGGAAACCATTTACTTCCCCTGTTTTAATAACTACTAGCTTAATTATAGAGTAGATTTTTATCAGGCTGTTGCCTATCCAGTGATTAAGCTAATGAAAGGAGAGAATCGTAGTTATTTGGTGAAGCTTCTCTTTTACGCTGTTATTTAAAGTATCAGGCAATGGCGAATTAGAATCTCAGTGCTGTTTGCGGCTCTTGGTGAGAGCTGGACTTGGACTCCTGCTTGGTTCACTGCGGTTGTGCAGAGCAAGAGGGCTTTTTGTGTTCTGAGCTGAGCCTGCAGTGCCTGCTTCACATCCACACCCACCACCCAGGGAACTGCCCTGTGCTCCAGGCCTGCTCCAGTGGTGGGGCGGGGTTGGGGGGCGGAGCTGGAGTCCCACCCCGGACCGCACTGCGCAGCAGTGAAGGGCACCCACCTGTCGCCGAAGGAGGAGTCGGCCCCAACCCCACCCCACGCCCCGTGGAGTTTGTTCTGGAAAATCCAAGAGTCACTAGCCTAAGTTGTAATTACAAAAAATGGGAAACCCTGCCACCCGTGGGTAGAGATCTCTGTGAAAAGGGAAAAAAGGAAATCCATTTATTCTTTCGTGCAGTAAATCCTTACTGAGTACCTACTGCATGCCGGACTCCAGGCTAGGTGCTAAGGTAGGGTAAATTAGAATGATGCTTTAAAAGTTGTTTGAGCTGGACATGGTGGAGCACGCCTGTAATCCCAGCACTTCGGAGGCTGAGGCAGGAGGATCACTGAGAGTTTGAAACCAGCCTGAGCTAGATAGTGAGTTCAGATCAGCCTGAACTACTTAGAGAGACCCTGACTCAAAAACACAAAGCAAAAAATGCAAAAAACAAAAATCAAAACAAAGAAAACCTAAACAAAAACAAACAAAAAAGCAGGGCATGGTATTGCATACCTGTAATCTCAGCACTCAGGAGGGTGAGGCAGGAGGATCACCGTGAGTGAGTTTGAGGCCAGCATGGACTACAGAGTGAGACTCTGCCTCAAAAAACAAACAAACAAACAAACAAACAAAAAGTTGTTTGAAGGCAGTCTGTTCAGTATCACAAACAGTACATATTTACATATTCACACGCACACAGCTGAAAGAAAAAGTTTACTAAGAACACACACATCCCCTTGCTATGCTCAGTGGATTCCATTATTTTGTATTCTACTTTACAAAAACAAAAAAATATCATCCAACCTGCTGGCTACAACCCACTGAAATAATTACATGCCCTTTATTGAGTCCAAGGCTACATTTTGAAACACACTGAGTTAAGATAAATCCCTGACCCTAAGCAGCTCTCTTTCTGATCTTGAGTCAGAAAATCATAAGAATGCAAGGCATGGTGTACTTCCCACGGCATGTGCGTGTTTGTGTGTGTGTGTGTGTGTGTGTGTGTGTCCATGTGCGCACGTGCGTGTGCCCCCACAGGAGGTGGAGGAGTAGGTAGGAAGCATGCGCCAAGGCAGAGGCCGTCCATGTGGCTCCTAGAGGTTGAGTAGGACCCCACCGAGCGGAGGGAAGTGGGAGGAGGGGTCCCAGGCAGCAGGCACAGAGTTCGGCAGGGGCAGAGTTGGCATCGCTGGGTGAGAACTGGAGGTGGAGATCAACTCGATCTTCTAGAAACAGCAACGGCAGGGCGATAGGAGAAGGTGGAGGTCTGGTCTCTGGGAAATCCTGCCATTTTAGAAGCGCTGCAGAGAAAAAGCTGGTACACAAAGAAAGTGGAGGTGGTGTGTCCCTGAATTAACAATAACCTTGCTTTGCAAATCCGAGGCAAACAAACAAGCCACCCGGTGATTCATGGGAGAATGAAGTCAACCCAGACACGAGAGATCGATCGATGGGTATTTGATGACAGTTGTTGTTTATTTGATTTGCTTGCCTTCTTGTAGATCCTTAATCCCTTCCTTGAAAAGCAACTTGCTGAACAAATCGAGTTATATTATGAGCGGTGTGCTGAGGTTCAAGAAATAATATCCGTGTATGTATCCACGGTCCAGCTTGGCGGTGAGCGACAGGAAGCGTGTAAGTATGGGGAGTCTCAGGAACGGTTTGAAGCTCTAATACCAATGGTGTCTTCCTATGAAACTAAAGTGGACCGCGTGTGACTTGGCTCTGATACCAAGGCGGACGAGTGTGACACTGAGGCCTTCACAGGTAGATGTGCATGAAAGTGTACCCTCCACCTGAACTCCCCCAAATCCCACCACCAACTGCCAAAAAGAACTGAAACACGACTTGTAACTCTCGCCATCCCTGTGTTTAAAAAACGAGTGACAAGCCGAGCGTGGTGGCACACGCCTGTAATCCCAGCACTCTGGAGGCTGAGGCAGGAGGATTGTTGTGAGTTCAAGGCCAGTCTGGGCTACACAGTGAGCTCAAGGCCAGCCTGAACTGCATAGTGAGACCCTGTCTCAAAAAGACACACACACAAAAAAAATATGAGTGACAGAGTGTTTTGAGCCTTGTGTGGTGTTATTCCTACCCACAAGGCCAATCTATGAAAATAAAAATGAATTGGAAGATAAATTAATCATAGGAATGTTTCCCCACCAGTGCCCTCTTGTCTTGGGCCATTAATATCTGAATATGACCTTTCAGAACTGTTGAGCAAGGAGTTTGTTGTCCGGGGCCCAGTTTTATTTTTTAAATCCTTGAAATTGGCTCCTGGAAGACCCGAGCAGGAGTGGGTCCCAATAGCCTGCTTGTGTGCAGGCTCATATGTGCTCAGACCTCGTTTTACTGATCCCTGCTGTCAGCTGTTACAAAACACAGGCCCGTCTCGTCTCCCATGTTCCTGCTTGGAGCTGGCACTGACGCATTTCTCTGCGCTCCAGATCTTGTTTGGTATGGTGGCACTAGAGCCAGTTGCATATGTTCCTTCTGGAAGAGAAATTCCTGTGAGGTCTTTGCCATCAGCCAGAGCGAATGGAGTATTTCAGTCCTGCTTGCGTATCTCCCCATCTCCAGAGCTGTAGCAAATGTACGTGTCGCGATCCTGTCCCACCCGGCTCACACAGGAACCAGAGGTGGTGACAGATGAATGCAAAGGGCAGCAGCTCTGCAGTGTCACTCAAGGGCAGGCTGTCCTGCCCCTCTGCCACTGCTCTTAGCACTGAATCATCTAGAGTATACGATGGTGTCACCAGGGCAACATATGTAAGAATAGTAATATCCTGAGCAGGAGAGAAGCTGATCGTAACTTACGTAGTATCAGGAGAGACGCCCTAAGTTGGAAGGCCACCCTTGCCTGCCGATCTGCTTGGTGGCCTTAGGGATTTTTCTGATGTCTTTGATTCCCTCACCTCCCTCTCCTCCCTGGGGTTCCTTGGGCTTTGCTCCTCCACGCACATGCCAACCAAGTGACCTAGATCTCAGTCTCCCAGGGACCAGCCGGAGGCCAGCTGCTCGCTTCCCCAGAATTAGTCAACAGCCGTGCAGGACTCTGGCCTGGTGCCCCTGGACTCAGCTCTGAATGATGACCTCGAGCCAAGACAGGCTGATTTCAGATTCCTGAAGGACCCAGCTGACCTCTAATGATGTTAGGTCTGACCTGTCGTCTCCGGTGCCTTGTGTGAAGAAGGAGTTTTCCTCTCCTAAGGGTGCGATGTCTTGTGCTTCTGTGTAGGTGAGCCCCGCAACTCCTACCTGGACCTCAGGCGCAGGTATGGGAGACCCTTGACGTGCAGAGCCTTCCCCTGGGAGAAGGGGCTGAAAGACAAGCACCCCACCTTGCTCCAGGCCTTGCTGGAGATGGATTTGCTGACCGGTAATTGAGCCTTTGCATTGGGGGTGGGTGCTGGTTCGAAGGGGTCCCTGCTTCCCTCTGTCTCACTCACCCTCCTGGCTGATTTATGCCTCAACGTTATTTTTAACCCCAGTGTTCTAGCTTCATTTCAGATTTAAATTCTGCCCTTATGTGTCCACAACGCTCATTATATCTGTGCACATTTCCCACGCTAAATACAAAACCTTAAATTTAGGAATTGCCCGAGCGATTCTTTATCTAAAACCAAGGCCACAAATGGACAGTGCTCAGCGGAGGTGATCCCAGAAGGCAGTTGGTTTGCATAAGATCTTGTTGTGTATTTTTAAAGAATTTAATTACCTTGAAAATGTTTTGAAAAATCCAAGGACCTGGGCCTCTATTCCTATGGCAGGGAGCCTGGAGGTGAGGTGTGGGTCCGGGCATGCGCTCTCCATCATAGTCCCTCTTCCTGTTTTTCACCTCCTGCCTCCTACCTTCATGGATCTGACCTGTTTGGGCCCTTAAACATTTGAAGTTGAGAATCCTGGTTTGTATATATTTTTTTCACAGTGCTAGAGATCAACCCCAGGGCTTCCACTGTGCTACATCCCCAGGCTGAGACTCCCGATTTGACATTCACTGGAAACATCATCTCAGGAATTTGTGTGTCCTTCCCATGTGCTGCCAGCTTCTCTTTGGACTCACTGCAGTTTGGGTTTGCTTAATGAATTAAGTGTGCACTGCCTAGCCACAGGGATCTTGAAACCATTCCCGTTAGGAAGAGCACAGGAGGCCAAAGACAATGAGTAGGGGAAGCAGCGGGCGGGGTGCGTGCTCGCCGGCCTCGTGGTCAGGGGCCACCTGCAGGTTCCTGGGCACAGCTCCAGCTCCTGGAGTGCAGGTGATGTGGAAGCCGACTTGCTAGGAAAGGCAGCGCCCAGTGGCACAGACTGATTTTCTTTGCAGAGAGTGACGCCCCCTGCTGTGGAGGAACACAAGCCACAGGAGCTATTGCGTCTTTTCACTCTTTCAAAACTTGCTGAGCCACGACTCCGTTCCTTGGCAGGACCCCAGAGATAAGAGAGCTGGCACAGGGTCCCTGCCCTTGAGGGACAGACTTGAAAGCAGAGACAAGTTGTAGTGCATTTTAATAAAAGCTCTGAAAGTGGAGGCGCAAAGAAAGGCGTAGTCAGTTCTGCCTGGAGGAGGTGATGTCGGGGCTGGTTCTTGAAGGCTGGTAGTGGGTGGGCGGGTGTTGGAGGCTGGGTGGAGGTGTAGAGGTGAATGTAGGACAGGCTGCTTCGTGGTGCAGAAGCGTTACAGAGGCCGGAGAGGGCCAGCAGCTCAGAGACTCTCGTCTGTGTCTTGGAGGAGGCCTTCGGGGGGCCTTTGGGGGTTTTAGGCAGGGGCAGAGGTGTGGTCTGGTGGCTGGCGTGGGGGAAGGAGAGATGTGCTAGAGGGCAGTGGATCCTTAGTGGGAGTGAGTTGCCATGGTACCCAGAAGAAGCAATGCAGGTTGGAGTGGGCCAGTGACAGAGACAGAGCGAAGAGAGTGGTTCTGAATGACCCATGACTGCTGGGATGTGGGCCCCTTGTGGGGCTGGGAGGCCATGTCGATCATATCCTGTGACATTGTGGCTCTTGAGCCATGTGGCCAGGTTCCAAGACTAATTAGCACTCACTGTGTGCTCTGGGGAACATGACTTCATTTCTCTGACCCTTGGTTTCATCATCTGCAGAATGGGCAGATTCCTGTCTCTTGGTGTCAGATTCAGAGTCAGTGTGGGGGATGGAATAGTTACTGCAGCCCCAACCCTGGGGGAGCCCATCGAAAGCAGCCGGGGGATTCTGTGGTTGGGGTTCCCCTGTGCACAGGAGGACATTTAGCTGCCTTCCTGGGCTCTACCCACTGGACGTGAGGTGTCCCCCCCTTACCGTACCCTGCATTGTCCCTGACACGGCCAAATCTAGCCATGCCCAGGGAGCCCAGATGTCCCTTTGCTGGGAACCTGCTGTCCATGTCATCGTTCTGATTACCGGCCAGAGGTAATTTGAGGTAATTCAGGGCAGAGCTGCCTCCAAGACAGATCCACAGGAGAGGGAGATGCAAACTAAGTGCTGAGAAGTTTATGCTAACGGGCTTCGACCACACCCACCTCCAGATAGTTTCTGAGATCTGATCATATTTAAATATAGTCTCGCTGGTTGGGAGCAGGAGTGAATCATTTGCACGATCCATTCTTTTTTAAGAAAATACTCTCAATAAGAATGTTTTCATGTTATTTTTGTAGCTCAAAGTTTTGCTTATAAGAATGTAGGGCTATTTTATTCTCCAAGGAGGCCCGGCGATAGAATCTAATTAAAAACTAAATCATGAGCACTCCAGGCTGAAGACTTCCCAGACCTCAAGTGCCGCAGAATCATTTGGTGTCTGCGAGTCCCAGCAACCTTGGTTAGGCGTGGAGGCCCCCATCGGTGGGGTGGGTGGGTCCTGAAGCCAGGTGTGCTGATTTAGGACCCACTGTTTATACCAGACCTGCAAACTGGGTGCTTCTGGAGCCAAATTGGAACAGCAGGAACGGGCATATCCCGAGGGTCTCCTCTGCCACTGTGGCCTCTGCCGCCAGGCGCATATAGCCACCTGCTTGCCTCTGCTTTAACAGAAAAGGAGTGAGCGAGGGTGGGTGGATCTCCAGAACCAACCCCCAGGCCCCGTTCTGCCTGTTTTTCTAGGTTACATGGGAGAGACCAGGGAGCCTCCTGCAGAGAGAGGGCATACACTCCTTCAGATTCATCTCCCTGCCTGGCATGGTGCCCTTGCTTGGGGCCACAATAGCATCTTCCAGCTAACCCAGGAGAGGGATTGGTGTCATATGCTGTACCCAGCTTTCTAACAAGGATGATAAATGTGCAAAAAATTTGATTTTGCAAATTGAGGTTAAAAGAGATGTTTACTTTTTTAACATGTCCTTACTCAGGTCTATAAAAAGAAGAGTACTGAGACTGGTCTGACTCGATCTGTTCCCTCTCTCTCGAATTCCCTTCCTTCCAAGGTCACACTGCCTTTAGGGTCTTGCTTATCCTAGCCCACTCTGAACAACTCTAGTTTACAGGAATTGGGTTTGAATTGTGTTTTTTTCTGTTGTCCTGACCTGTCCTGTTCTGCAGGTTAACAGAGCTTACTGGAACACCCTTTTGTCTTTTTTCCTTGTTTGTTTTTTGTCTGTTTTGAGACAGGGTTTCACTACACAGTTCAGGCTGGCTTGAATTCACTTTGTAGTCCAGGCTGGCCTCGAACTCACAGTGATCCTTCTGCCTCAGCCTGCCGAATGCTGGCACTGCAGACATGCGCCACCATCCGGGACCTGGAACACCCTTTTGTGATAGTCGGAGTGTGGTTTGTCCCCCAAGGGTTTGTGTATTGGACAATTGGTAGCTAGTGTGGGGAGTGGGGGGGGTGAAGGAGGCTTTAAGAAGTGGGAGCTGGTGGGAGGAGACACTGGCCTAAGAAAGAATTCAGGTTATTTCTGTGGGATCCTGAGCTCTGGAGAGACCGAGTTGTTATAAGAGTCAGCCCAACACTCCCCTCCACCCCCACTCGCTCTCCTGGCCCAGTCTGATGATGTGATCTCTTTCTTGAATGTGCTCTCAACACAAGGCCCTCACCAAGGCCAAGCTGATGCCAGCACCGTACCCTTGAATCTCTGGAACTGTGAGCCAAACCAAACCTCTCTGTCCTGTGAAGTTAACGTGCCTTGGGGGTTTTGTTACAGTAATGCGAAACACAAGATGAGGTGTTCCTCCTACTGCAACTTTCCTATCTGAGATAAGTGAGGAGAGAGGACCTAGGTGTGAGACGTTCAGTGTTTGGAACTCTTTACTGTGGGAACTGAACAGATGCAGTACTAGAGATGAGGTCTTTAACTTAGTAGTGTGTTCTTAAATCGCTCACATGTCGTTCATTCATTCATTCATTAAATGGGTATTGACTGAAAGCACCCCCCCACCTAATGAGGCAGGATAGAGCAAAATGAACAAAGGCTGTGTTTTGAATAAGAGTCATCCAGGCCAAGCACAAAGAAACACATTGGCCTCGTTAGTTCCTGTTAGAGAGTTAATTTGTGGGGTAATTTTTCCTGGATTTTGTGATAGCTATAGTGATAGGAGAAGATGCCCTGCCCACCATGAGATCTGATGGGTCGTTGCTCTGGTCCAAGCCAATCCCACACTTCCACGGAGCTCTGCAGAGGGGAGGGGAGCTTCAGGTTCATTACTAAATGGGGGGTGCAAAAGAGCCGCCACATCCTCGTGTCGTGGGGTCAGTCGTGACCATTACCTTCCATTTGTTCCCAGAATGACAATATCTTAAGGCAGGAGACACTCGCCACACATGTACATCTGTCCTCTGTCATTTTATATTGTTTAATTTTTAATTGCAGCAAAATACACATAAAGTAAAATTTCCCATCTTACCCATTTTAACTATGTAGTTCAGCAGCGTTAAGTACATTTGCATCTCTGTGCAACAGACCTCCAGGACTATCGGCATCTTGAAAAACTAAAATTCTGTACACCTGTCAGAAGTCCCAATTTGCCCTGCCTCCCAAACCCCAAAAGCTGCCATCTTGTTCAGGGGGAACTACTTTGCAGACCTCATAACGTGGGGTCGTCCGGTTTTCTCTTCTTGTGAATGGCAAGTTTTGTTTAGAAGAGTCTTCGCCATGGTATAGCGTGTGTCAGAATCCCCTTTTTAATCTGGCACGATGTTTCATTGCTTATTTTGTTTACATGTTAATCCATTCGCGGCACATGGGCGCCTTGGCTATTGTGAATAACACTGCTGTGAACATAGCAAGGATCTTCAAAGACATTTGCTCTCAGTCCTGCTGGACACATATGCAGAAGCAGAATTGCTGGGTCGTCCGGTAATTCTAGGTTTAATTGTTTGGAGGAACCTCCATTCAGTTTCCATAGCAGCCGCACCACTTTCTGTTGTCACCAACAGTGCACCAGGGTTCCTA